GGCCCTGGCACAGGGTGCCCAGAGCAGCTGTGGCTGCCCCTGGATCCCTGGAATGTTCAGTTCCAGGTTGGACATTGGGACAGTGGGAGGTGTCCCTGCCATGGCAGGGGTGGCACTGGGTTGGATTTGAGATCCCTTCCAAACCCAGTCTGGGAATTTATGATTTTTGTTTTGAGGGTATTTTTGTTTTTTTGGGGGGAGCAAGGGAGTGGTTGGGAATGTGGATTCATTTTTGTCCTGTAAAATGAGACTAAGGCTTGTGCAGGGCTTTGGAGGCAAATGCTTTTAACTCACTGCCCTCACTTCTGGCTCTGGGTGAGCCAGGCTGCTCAGAATCCTGGAATAATTTGGGATGGGGCACAGTTTCTCTGGGCACCCTATGCCAGGACCTCCCCACCCTCACAGGGAGAAATTTCTTCCCAATATCTGATCCAGGTGTGTTCCAGTGCTCACAGATCTCCCTGACCCCAAATATATGCATGGATAACTCTGGAACCTGTTTATTCCTTTCTGTCTGCTCCTCTTTGTCCTTTACCAACCCTCAGGAAAATGAGAGCAGTGTGATTTTCATGGTAGATAACTTGGAGATGTTTATCCTGTCCTGAGGAAGGGCTGAGGCAGGATAATTAACATGGAGACAGGAATAGAAGCTGGGTGTTGATAGGAAAAAAGGCAGCAGCTCTGGAGTGGGAGTGCAGGGATTCCACAAAGAGCACCTCCAAGGGCAGCTGTAAAACCTGCCAGGGAGGAGGGAGGATGGGCTGGATTGTTCTGATTTATGGCTCTTGGGGGGTAATTTTATCAGAACTTAGAGAATTCCCAACATTTTTAACTTCACATTCATTTTCCTTTCCTGGTTGTTCTCTTTGCTGTTGTAGCTGTTGTAGTTTGTGCTGAGTTGCCTTGCTTTGATTTCTGCTTCTGTGCTCTCACTTCCTTCTCTTCTGTGCTTCACCTGTTCCACTGAACGTGGAGATGGAATTGTGGGGCTAATTATGGCATTCCATCATTCTATGTTCCCACTGTTTCATATATTTACTGGACTCTCTGATTGTCCTTCCAGCCCCCAGAAATGTTCCAGAAATGGTCTCTGTCATATTTCTATTCTTGGGCAGTGCTGGAGGATCTGTCAGGTGCTCTTGGGAGCACTTTAAGTCTTTATTGAGCACCTTGTCTGCAATTTTAGAGTTCAACTTGCAGAATGTGAGCCCTGGAATTTTCAGCTTTCAAAGGAAAGGTGAAAGCAGAGGAAGCAGAGCTGACCCTGCACTGCTCTGAGCCCTTTGCTTTCATCCCCAAAGTGCAGCAGCACCGTGGAGCCATGGAATGGTCTGGGTGGGAAAGGACCTTAAATCCCATCCAGTGCCAGCCCTGCCATGGCAGGGACACCTCCCACTGTCCCAATGTCCAACCTGGCCTTGGGCACTGCCAGGGATCCAGGGGCAGCCACAGCTGCTCTGGGCACCCTGTGCCAGGGAGGAATTTTTTCTTAATATCTGATCTAAATCTGTAATTTTTCAGTTTGAGGCCATTCCCTGTGTGCTGTCCCTCCATTCCCTGTGTGCTGTCCCTCCATTCCCTGTGTGCTGTCCCTCCATTCCCTGGGTGCTGTCCCTCCATTCCCTGGGTGCTGTCCCTCCATCCCTTGGCAATTGTCTCTCTCCATGGTTCCTGCAGCTCCTTCAGGCCCTGCAAGGCCACCCTGAGCTCAGCCCAAAGCTTCTCCTCTCCAGGCTGAACAATCCCAGCTGTGCCAGCCTTTCCTCCCAGCAGAGCTGCTCCATCCCTCTGCTCATCCTGCTGCCTCCTCTGGGCTCTCTGCAGCAGCTCCAGCTCCTCTGTGTTCTGGTGATTTTGCCTTTGTTCTGTCTGTAGCTCAGCAGGGAGTGTCCAAGAGAGGACAGGACGCAGCAAACTCTCAGAAGGGAGATAAGGGAGCAGAAAAGCTGCCCTGTGATAATATCAGAACATCAAATCCAGGACTCCTGAGGTGTTGCAATGTTCCTGTCCCAGCCAAGCTGTTTGCACTTGGCTACCAAACCTTACCAAGAGCTGAGGCCACAGTGGGAACATTGCAACACTCAGGGTTCAGCAATGGGGCTTTTGTAACTTGGCCTCGTGGTTTCTGCATCATCTCAGAACTCTCCACACCAAACTCTGCCTTCCCCAGCTCTTCAATACCTGCACCAGGGCCGGTGGGATTTGGGGCTTTTTCTTTTGACACAGTGCTTGAGTTTGGTGTTAGTAACTCCAGGTGGTTTATTTTAAATCCTGAGAGACCTGGCCTGAGCTGGAGGAGGGCAGGGATGGATGGATGGATGGATGGGATTTTGGGAATTAGGAATTGTTCCCTGGGAAGGGGCTGGGATGGAATTCCCAGAGCAGCTGTGGCTGCCCCTGGATCCCTGGAATGTTCAGTTCCAGGTTGGACGTTGGGACAGTGGGAGGTGGTGGCACTGGGGGGGATTTAAGGTCCCTTCCAACCCAAACCTTTTTGTGATTCCATGTTTTGCTACACAACCATGTCAAAAAAAAAAATCACAGCGATAGTGACAAAATGAAACACACTAGGAGTGATTTCTTCACGGTTTTAAAAAGGCAAATTAACAACATTGTGTGTATCAGTAGGACTTAAATATTTCTTTTAAATCCGAAGAACACTGTGACAACATTGTTTTGTGAGGTGTTCACTTAGAACCACGTGGTTTGTTCACAGCCAGGCTCTAGTCCTGGATTAGATGACAAAGTTCCTTTGAAAGGTGGCTTCTGGAGTCATTATCCCTGGCTCTCAGTAATGTGCAGGTGGCCTTGAGGAAGGCAGTCAGAGAGATTTTTTTTTTTTATTTGCTATTTTCCTCTTTTGTGAGCTCTGGGGACAGGAATGTTCCCCAGAGGTGCTGCAGTGACCCTGGGGCTGTGCCAGGAACCTGCTCTGCTTTTTTTCTTATCAGGAGCTGCAGTTCCCTGCCATGTACAGGGCAGCCTGTTTGTGCTCAGGTGATTCATGGCCATTCTTTCCAGGTGAGCATCCTGACCTCTCACATTTATTGGAGTCACACCTGCTCCTTCCACATCCAAAACCTTGAGGATGGCTGACAGCAAATTGCAGCTCAGGGGCAGGATTTGGGATGTGCTCAGTGTGGTTTTGTGGGCTCAGGAGTGTCAGGGCTGGTGGTGAATTCTGAATTTTTGTGTTTGTGTGTGTGTGTTCAGATCTCTCATCCCATCCTCCCAGATGGAATTTATCACAGGAAGGGTGGCCAGACCCCCCCCTCCACCATGGGGGTTTGGAGTCCCCACCCCTGGAGGTGTCCAGGGAATATCTGGATGTGACACTCAGTGCTCTGGGCAGGGGACAAGGGGGTGGAGAATCAGTCACAGCTTGGGTTTGATAATCTTGAAGTTTTTTAACAACTTCAGTGATCCTGAGATTTTTAAGTGTGGACTTGCAAGAAAAAGTTCTAAGAAATTGTATTAAATATTTTTTATTTCATGCTGTGGTGACTTTTACACTGAGGTAACCTAAGATCAGCAGAGAATTTGACTTTAAAAAGGAGTTTAGCAAGTAGAACCCCTAAAAATGGAAACTGCTCTTTTATGTGGTTAAATATTGATAAAACCGGGTTTTAAACTTAGCACTGGGCATTTTTTGCAGGTATTCCTTAAAACTTGGTGCTTCTGTCATGGTGTTAAAACAGAATGAACCAAAGGCATTTTAGATTTTGGATGCATTGTAATTTTGGAGCTCAATGTGCATTAGAGAGTTCCAAATAGTTTGTGAAAGCTTCAGTTTAAACTTCAATAATTACTTGAAATGGTTTTGAGGTTTTTTTAGTGGTTCTTGATTTTTTTTTAAAAAAACCCCACAAAACAAAAAGAACTCCCACCCCCCCCAAAAAAAAATTCCATAAGAAAAGACCACAAAACCCTCACAAAAACCTGTGTTTTGTGCTGCTTTTTTGGGAATTGCTTTAAAACTGGGATCCAGGTGTCCTAAAAAATATCAGAAATTCAGATTCCACACCTCCTCCTGGTAGGAAAAAGAAACACAAAGCAACCCCTGACAAAACCCTGCCTGCTTTAAGAGGCTGGGAAAGAGTTTTTTTAATAAGGCAAAACCACTAATTAATGCATGGAGTTGCTTTGAAGAAGTTTCCAAATGAATCCTCCTTGTGATGGGAGGAAAATCATTTTCCCAAATCAATCTCTACATTTCAACCTCTGGGTATTCATGGAACAAAAAACGAGCTGCTCACCTGAGGGGGTTTGTTTTCCATCCCCCAAAAAAATCGGGAATTAGGAAATTTTCCTGCTAATTCATCAGGAATTAGGCAGTTTTCCTGCTAATTAATCAGGAACTAAACAGTTTTCCTGCTAATTAATCAGGAATTAAGCAGTTTTCCTGCTAATTAATAAGGAATTAGGAAATTTTCCTGCTAATTCATTAGGAATTAAGCAGTTTTCCTGCTACTTAATCGGGAATTAGGCAGTTTTCCTGCTAATTAATGAGGAATTAGGAAATTTTCCTGCTAATTCATCAGGAATTAAGCAGTTTTCCTGCTAATTCATCAGGAATTAAGCAGTTTTCCTGTTAATTCATCGGGAATTAAGCAGTTTTCCTGTTAATTAATGAGGAATTAAGCAGTTTTCCTGCTAATTCATCGGGAATTAAGCAATTTTCCTGCTGCCTCGTTCTGCCTGGACAGGAACATTTTCCATGCCTCACTCCCAGTGGGGGAGAGCTGCATGGAATTACTGCCAGTGGAAACTATGCTGCAAGAGGCTGGGCAGCAGCTGCCCCTGCTCAGCTCTGCTGCATTTTCCATGCTCCTGCTAATTAGTTAGAGGGAAGCTGACTAATTGCTGACGTCACCTCTTTCCAGTCCACCTTACATTTTGTTCCCATCTCTGTCCAAGCACTCGGGACTCTGCTCAGGAATTTGCTGTCACACACACACACAGGATGCTCTGAGAGAGTTTTTTTTTTTTTAATATATCAGGGGTTGGGCTGCCTTTGGTTTATAAATGCTGTGTGCAGCAGCATCCAGGGCTCCTGAAAATCTTGGGAATTGTGCAGGGATCGCTGGGAAAATGCATTTCCGTCATTTCCATTACACTTTCAGCTCGCTCGTCGCCTGCCTGGCTGATGGGGAGGTCTGCACTCAGCCAGAAACAAGGGTAGGTTTGATTTCCAAAAATGAGGGTGGATTCAGAGGGGTTATTGCCAGAAACAAGGGTGGGTTTGATGGGATTATTTCCAGAAAAAAGGGTAGATTCAATGAGGTTATTTCCAAAAAGAATGGTGGGTTTGATGGGGTAATTTATTTCCAGAAACAAGAGTAGGTTTTATTTCCAGAAACAAGGGTGGATTCAATGGGATTATTTCCAGAAACAAAAGTAGGTTTTATTTCCAGAAACAAGGGTAGATTTGATGGGGTTGTTGCCAGAACCAAGGGTAGATTCCATGGGTTATTTCCAAAAAAAAGGTGGGTTTGATGGGATAATTTATTTCCAGAAACAAGGGTAGGTTCCATGGAGTTATTGCCAGAAACAGGGGTAGATTCAGTGGGGTTATTTATTTCCAGAAAGAAGAGTAAATTCTATGGGATTATTTCCAGAAACAAGGGTAGGTTCCATGGGTTATTTATTGCCAGAAAGAAGAGTAAGTTTGTATGGGGTTCTTTATTTCCAGAAACAAGGGTAGATTAAATGAGGTTATTTCCAAAAAGTATGGTGGGTTTGATGGGGTAATTTATTTCCAGAAACAAGGATAGATTCAATGGGGTTATTGCCAGAAACAAGGATAGATTCCATGGGGTTATTGCCAGAACCAAGGGTAGATTCCATGGGGTTATTTCCAAAAAGAATGGTGGGTTTGATGGGATTATTTCCAGAAACAAGGGTAGGTTCTATGGGGTATTTATTGTCAGAAACAGGGGTAGATTCAGTGGGGTTATTTATTTCCAGAAAGAAGAGTAAGTTTGTATGGGGTAATTTATTTCCAGAAACAAGGGTGGATTCAATGGGATTATTTCCAGAAACAAGGGTAGGTTTGATTTCCAAAAATGAGGGTGGATTCAGAGGGGTTACTGCCAGAAACAAGGGTGGGTTTGATGGGATTATTTCCAGAAAAAAGGGTAGATTCAATGAGATTATTTCCAGAAACAAGGGTAGGTTCCGTGGGGTATTTATTGTCAGAAACAGGGGTAGATTCAGTGGGGTTATTTATTTCCAGAAAGAAGAGTTAAGTTTGTATGGGGTAATTTATTTCCAGAAACAAGGGTAGATTCAATGGGATTATTTCCAGAAACAAAAGTAGGTTTTTTTTCCAGAAACAAGGGTAGATTTGATGGGGTTGTTGCCAGAAACAAGGGTAGATTCAGTGGGGTTATTTATTTCCAGAAAGAAGAGTAAGTTCTATGGGATTATTTCCAGAAACAAGGGTAGGTTCCATGGGTTATTTATTGCCAGAAAGAAGAGTAAGTTTGTATGGGGTTATTTATTTTCAGAAACAAGGGTAGATTAAATGAGGTTATTTCCAAAAAGTATGGTGGGTTTGATGGGGTAATTTATTTCCAGAAACAAGGATACATTCAATGGGGTTATTTCCAGAACCAAGGGTAGATTCCATGGGGTTATTTCCAAAAAAAATGGTGGGTTTGATGGGATAATTTATTTACAGAAACAAGGGTAGGTTCCATGGGGTTATTTCCAAAAACAGGGGTAGGTTCTATGGGGTAATTTATTTCCAGAAACAAGAGTAGGTTTTATTTCCAGAAACAAGGATAGATTCCATGGGGTTATTGCCAGAACCAAGGGTAGATTCCATGGGGTTATTTCCAAAAAGAATGGTGGGTTTGATGGGGTTAATTATTTCCAGAACCAAGGGTAGCTTCTATGGGGTAATTTATTTCCAGAAACAGGGGTAGATTCAGTGGGGTTATTTATTTCCAGAAATAAGAGTAAGTTCTATGGTGTTATTTCCAGAAACAAGGGTGGATTCCATGGGATTATTTCCAGAAACAAAAGTAGTTTTTATTTCCAAGAACAAGAGTGGATTCAGAGGGGTTATTGCCAAAAACAAGGGTAGGTTTGATGGGATTATTTATTTCCAGAAATAAGAGTAGGTTCAGTGGGGTTCTTTATTTCCAGAAACAGGGGTAGATTAAATGAGGTTATTTCCAAAAAGAATGGTGGGTTTGATGGGGTAATTTATTTCCAGAACCAAGGGTGAGTTCCATGTCCTTATTTCTGGAAAACTCCACTTTGGAGAGGTTGGACTTGTAAGGAAATTTCAGTTTGCCATAAAAATCTGGGAGTTTGAGATCCTGCACCAGCCTGCTCTGCTGGGAGTGATTCCAACTCTGGGAATTATTCCATTTTAGCTCTGTGTGTGTGCTAAAATTGGGAAAATCAGCTCAAATTTTCCTTCCATATTTCTTTGAATGTGTGGTGTATTCTGAATTTTCAGCAAATATTTAATTCTTATTTTAGTAGCAAGATCCACTGATTTGTAATCTGTTTGATACTTCTGGGATTTTATTTTTTTTTTTTCTCCTGGTAAAACTATAAGAAAACCTTTTGGGTCTGTATTTAGTTGATTGGTAATAGAAAATAAATAATATATAGTGTAAATAGAAAAGAATATAAAATATTTATGAATGCTGATACAGGGAGCAGTTACTGCTGAGATACCTTAAGGACAAAAATAAATTTATTTTTTTTTTAAGTGTCATAGTGCCAAAGTGACAATTCTGACCTTTATAATTGCATATTTAAATAAATAAATATTAAAAAAAAAAAACAACAACAACAAAACAAAACAGATTTCTCTGGGTTTAAATACGGAATGGGAACTTGAAAATGCAATTTTTGGGTGTATTTTCCATGGTTCCATCTCACTTTTGAGTGAGATGTGTGGGGAGCCTCCTGCTCTTGTTTCAGAGCTCATTCTAAAGAAGTTGGAGAAGCAGATTCAGCTCTTTAAAATCTTTTAAAATCTTTTAAAATCTTTTAAAAATCTCTGTAAAATAAAATGATTTTATACCCAGCTGTGGGGGGGAGGGTGTGAAGTGGAGTTTCTCAGGGAGGAAAATGAAATTCTGAATTAATTTCTGCTTTTTTCTGTAATTTCCCTGTGTTTTTTGCCTCCTAATAATTCCAAATATTGTAGTAAAAAAACCTCGATGAAATAATGTTTATTGTGGCTTTATCCTGAGATTTTAGGAAGCTTTTAGGGACAGAAAATACCTGGAAATTCCTCAAATTTCAATCCTGAACCCATTGGAATCAAACACTTGGGAAGGGCCTGGCAGCTCCTCTTGTGTCTCTCCTTTGGTCTGGAATCCTGCAGGGAAAGTGGAAACACTTTCCATAAATTCAATTAAAAAATAAAAATGAAAATAAAAATTAAAATTAAAAAAAAAAATAGCAGGAAATCAGGAGATCTTCATGGATCTTCACTGCAGAAAAATCACATTTAGCTTGAAAATCAGGATTTTTCAACTTTTTCTCTATTAAAACTTGTTTTGGTTCCCTTAAATTTGAACATTTGGCCAAAGGCCTGGCAGAATTTTTTCAAGGTTTTTGGGTATTAATTTTCTAAGTTAAATTTCTTTTCAAGATCTTACTGTTACAAAATCAGGGTCCAGCATTTATTCCTGATAATAATAAATGATAATATCACTTATTAATGATAATTATTTTAATAAGTGATAAGGTAGAAAACTTCATTCTAGAAAGAAAAAGGAAAATAAATGAAGTTGTTCCAATAATCAATATTCAAGAATGGTCGTTTACCCTCATTAACAACTTTTCATTTATATTTAATTTTTTTATTAGTGTTTAATACTGATTTTTTTTTCTCTCTTCTCTTTTTCTCTGCAGGCCAAATTTGAATCCCTGTTCAGACCCTATGACAGAGACCTGACCTTTCAGTATTTTAAAAGCTTCAAAAGAGTGAGAATCAACTTCAGCAACCCTTTGTCTGCAGCAGAAGCCAGGATCCAGCTGGACAAAACAGAATTCCTTGGAAAAGAACTCAAACTCTATTTTGCTCAGGTAAAAAAAAAAAAAAAATAAAATTATTGAGATTACCCTTAGGGGAATTAAAACTTTCATTGTTCTAATTCCAATAAATCCTCCAGCTTGTGGGTGTTAGGAGAAGTTTGGGATAACAGGGTTGGAAAGATGATGGAGAATTTTAGGAATGAACCCTTTTTTTTACAGTGGGTTTTGTGCATGGTTCTAAAGTAATTTGGTTTTATTTCCTCGAGTTTCTCCCAGTTTTATGGAAATCTGGGAATTGTTTTAAATATTTATTTACTCAGCATCCCACAATTCCTGCATGGTCATTTTTTTTTTTTTTTTGTCAGATTAATTTGAGAATCCAAGGTTTTTCCCAGAGTTCCAGGGGTTTGGAGGGTGTTGGTGTTTATTGGACAATTTTGGATGGGAATGAGAACATTCCAAGAATTTAAAGGTTTGGGGGAGGCTGGGAGGGCTCTGCCAGCACCAGGGAGGCCTTGGGGGATCCAGGGGGTGGAGCTGAAAATTCCAGCCTGGAGCT